GACCAGCTTGATAGTAGGCGCTTTACTGATTGAACCAGAGGGATCCCAAGCCCGGGAAAAAAATTGAAATGGGAAAGAGAGAGAGAATTTGGCTCGCCTGTAAAATGCTTAAATCCAGCATTAATTCGTTAATTCCTACGAGCCTATTTGGAGTATATCAATAAAGAATAATAAGACGACAGGAACTGTCAACATGGCCGAGCGGTTAAGGCGTGAGACTCGAAATCTCATGGGATCTCCCGCGCAGGTTCAAATCCTGCTGTTGACGCTATACTTTTTTAACCAGAGGACTTTATTCTTACCCCAGGTAAGAATTCTACCTTTTGTGTTGTTCACCAATGTGAAGACTACATTGCCTCGTCGTCCATGTCGCCCTTCGAATATACTACAACTCTTTTTATCACTGGCTTCGCCTCTGCGACTCCGCCAGATTCCAGCTCTTATAAAACGACCGCGTTTGTCAAAGCAGACAGTTGTATCTTTGATTCCACTTGTTCACGTCAACGAATCCTTGCTCTTTTGTACTTCCTACCTCGTTTGACTCGTTCCCAGTCGGCCCGAGTCGCGCTCCTGCTCCGTCGATCTCAGCCACTGGCCATTCTCCAACAGAATGACGGAGGTTGTGAGAATAAGGACTCTCACTTTTTGCAGAATGTAAAACTCCGACACTATTTTTTTTTGGTTTGTTGGCCGAGATTTCTTTTTTTTTTTTTTTTACCTTCTTCTTCTGTTAGTATTTGATCTTCCATATCTTATCATGTCTCCATCATCTACACCCCTTTCCTCTCCGTCGCCATGCACCGCTGATATCGATTCAAGCGACAGAAAATCAAATCTCAAGCCGCCCGGCACTGTATGCGTCCAGCAGATAAGCACGAAGCACCTCCAGCACTTTAAGCGTCAATATCCCGACTATGACGAGCAAGAGTCCGACCTACCGCTTTGGATCGAAGGAGTCGATACAACATATGCGCCTTTTATACCCACATCCACTCGTAGGGTCCTCCTAGCCCTAGACTTAGCTCATATATCGCCGGATGACAGGGTCCTAGATGTTGGCTCAGGGGACGGTCGCTTTTGTTACGCAGCAGTTGCGCTCTATGGAGCCAAGCACGCCACTGGAATCGAATATGAAGAAGATCTAGTTGAAAAGTCCACAGCCTTGGCGCAGACCCTTGTCGATCAAGGAAGGATCACCTTTCAGAGGGCGGATCTTACGAACTGGAGGCAATCATCCGTAATGCTATCCAAGGAATGGACCGTCATCATCGTTTTCTTATCCCCAGAAGGAGGTTCCGACATGGAGGACTGGCTTGTTCAAGAGTTTGAAAGAGGCGTGAGGATCGTCGCTCTGGTGTTTGATCTCAAGCATCTAAAAGGTCTGCGTTGCAGCATTGAGGACTCTCAGGAGGGAATCTGGGTCTATGAAAAGCAAGCGACAACATGTTAAGGATTCTATCTCGCATTTTATAAATATCATGATTCTTCTATTTCTAGCTAGTTTGTGCATGTTGTATGACAGAGCAATCTATAGAAGTTCAGGGTCTTCTTCACGATCATGCAGGTCCACTATGGGGAGGATGTCTGAGGTCGGGGAGAAGACATGGAACGCCAGGTCGTTGAAGACGGTGTTGTCCTCAAACTTGGTCCTGGGGAGCAAAGTAACCTGTGCGATCGTTAGCGCAGGGAAGATGAATGGTGCTTGCTTTGCAATCTGTCGGAAGGATGGACTAAAATACAATCGAAGCAATTGAGTGACATACCGTAAGACTATGTCCGGCATTTAATACATTCATATCAAGACGGATCTCGTCCTTAACGGTATCCTTTGAATCTTTACCTTTCATCATACATCGAAAAGCGGTTGCCTAGGATTACCAGCTGGTCCAGACGCTTCCGGGTCCAGTTCGTTTCGAGCACATGCGAGTAAAGCCCTTTTGGACAGTGCGGCATATAAAACAGAGTGCGGGCCTCAATGGGCTGATTGGTTTGATCATTGGTTGTCAAGGCATTCATGCCCAACTCAGTCACCAGTTTACGATCGTATTCTGTCATAGCAGGGTCATATATTGATATCGACCCTGGAATCTAATCAAATATGAGATCAATAACTATTCTTGAGTCGTCACTTCCTGCAACATAAAGCATCGGTACGTACCTGCAACATGTCCTTCAAGCAAAGGGCTAGAGCCAATTGAAATTGGGAGGCACGAGATGACTCGACCGATCCAATCCCATAGCAAACCATATCAATGAACGGCGATGACGAGCCTTGAGGTTTGCCATTCTTCGTCCTCGTGTCCAAAGATGGTACTCTCTTCTCAGATTTCAGATCGTCCTTCATTTCGGATAGATCGCACGTCCCTGATACCAACTCTGAAGGTGCTGTTGACGCGTGGAGTTGCAAGCTTTTGTAAGTAGGAAAGAGGGCCAGCTGTACGAGATCTAAGCGCAGAGAGTACCAGTCGTACATAAGGATGATGTGTTGCACGCCTGGATCTGCCTTTCGACTTCGATATCCATTAATGTACCTTGAAAAGCTTCATAAAACCGCGATTGCTTCAATGTCATGATCCTCTCCTCAACGATATTCAGGCCCCATTGAAGCGTCCGCTCTTCTTGATCTGCCTTCCCGGATCCCATCACCTTGGCTCGCTGACTGTTTCTTTTCACCCGTGTTGATTTCCTAGTCGTCCATCCTGGAAGGCTGATACTGCCTTCATTCGCCGTCGCCCAGGCGGTTTTAGCCAATTGAACTTTGGTTTCAGAGGTTGCGGGTGGTATTACTGCTTTACGCCCATGCCTCTTCCTGCTGACGAATGTAAATGGAATGTCGTCATCAATGGAGTCGTTGAAGGTTGTGATTAGAGGTGTCGATTGCGGGCCGCTTTCAGATTCCTTGGAAGTCGACATTGTACAAAAAGGAGGTCAATTCTATGCGGGCACATTCACCCTATCTTGATACAGAGGTGGCTGAGCTAACGACAACGCCATTTGAAATGCGCCAGTCAACGCACGAACATTCAGCTCCTCCTCAACTCTCGGTTCGAAACTACCGGATTCACCTGTCATAACATCGATCCTATAACGACACACATGAAGCGAGGCATTCAGGACGCCAACCCGAATGGAGGGCGCGAGAAGCATGCACGGCCTCAGGATGGCGCCATTAACGCGGAATCGAGCACAGGGTCTAGAACACTCGTAGAGAAGACCCCAATACTCGCGCTTCAGAGTGCGCGAACAGATAATGATATGGTCGTGGATGAAGACCATGAAATAAGCCAGAGCGATTCCGACAGTGCAAACGAAGAAATAGACGACCGAGATGGTGGGGATACAGTCTTATCAACCGAGGTAATATACAAGCTTTTATAATCATTCCAGGACAGGATACCGGCCTGTGAAGACTTAACCGCAGCAACCTCTTATCTTCTAGGACTTGTTTTCAGCACTGGATTCCCTATCAGCGCGCGTCCGGATAAGGGTAATTAGGAGAGTTCAAACAAAAAAGGCTATGCTCTGGATAATGTAAAAAGCATACAAACCTGGACATGTATTCAGTAGTAATGTTGCATCCCTGTGCTGATGAATTAGACGCTCAAGCATATACTCAATAACCTTTCTGGTTTCTCGAACATGGAGCGGGATCGGCTCCTGGGAATTGTTCGGAAAAAACTTTACACAGAATACGACAAAGGGGCAAAGGTAGGCACATTTAATCTCAATCTACTAATCATCAAGTTAACAACAAGAAGGTAACAGCACTCATTTGATTTCCTCATGCTGTATGGACGGTTTAGATATTACTGATTCAAGCTCTTCAAAGTACCCTGGACTCAACGGCAGCAGCGGATGCCAGGGGTATCGTAGAGGACTTGCTAAATCAGGTATGTCAAATGGTCGCCAAGTCATCAAGAGGATTCCTTCTAAGGCACCTGATTAACCCGTACATTTACAGCTTCAAGCAGATTCAACGGAAGTGCGGGTCCAGGTCTATGATGCCATATCATATATTGTCAAGGTACGGATTGACTCAAAGTGCGATCCGGTTTGCATTTTGCGTTAAAGCTGTTGATATGCTAACTGACTTTTGAATACCGCAAACTCTTAGACGGACAAACTCCCACGGTTTAACATGTCAGATATCAACACGATTAGGGCGCTCATCACCAACTGTGTTGCAGAGCTAAGGGATCGACATCATCGGATCCGCTCTGCAGTATTACAGCTTGTTTCGCTGCTTGCGCCACTCTTGATGATATCTGATTATCCTGTAGCACCTACACCAAACCAACAGCTACAGGGCTATTCACAGCATGATATCCAGGTTATCATTAGCAATTATGTAACTGATCCTGAACCTCGAGTGAGAAAGGTAAGAGTGCATTGTTGAGGCATAGTTTATCGCATGATCCATTGTCAACATGTTATAGACTGGCACATTGAATCAAAAAACAAAACTACGTCATTAGAATGCAGTGAAGGCTCTTTTAGAGCTATGTCGCAAGGGTTTCAGGCTTGCCATGGTGATGTACGATATCGCTGTCTTAGCCCTTGAAGATGACTATCAGGAAGTCCGCTTAGAAGGATTGGATTTGATCTAGTAAGTTACCGCGCCCAGCTCTTTCTCCCGATATGACAAATATTCATGGCTCCGACCGACCGTTTGACGATCGTGTTCGACTGGCAAATCAAGTATTTTAGGCAGCATTTACCCCGATCAAGCTGTGCAGGATCCACTCGCAACAGAACGTGAAGCGAAACGTTTGGTGGATGACGCTTTTATCAGAATCTGTGACATGGTCAACGACAGCTCAATGATAGTTCGAGCCAAGGTAAATGTCTATTGAAAATTCCAACGTATCGGCCGTCATGAAACGTTGAACTCATGGTGTCGATGTTTGTTATCTAGGCGTGCTCATATCTGGGACGCTTTAGATCTGTGGATTCGAAAATCCTGGCGCAAACGTTCAGCAAACAAATTATGGCCCGTCTCAAGGTGGATGTAGCGCCAAAAAACCTTGCCGCAGGACCTGCTCAAAAGCAAGCACAGGTAAACATCCATTTTTTTTTTGTTCTCACATTCTCTCTATCGGAGCATGCCTTATTATTGGGAATTTGTATTCACAAATTGTCTTGATTTCGCCAGAGAGCCAAGTTGATTGCAACGCCTGAAGGCGACCAGGATGTGACAACGCAGCCTAAACTACATGACTCAGGCGCCTGCGGTGCGTTTATCCATGGACTCGAAGATGAGTATCAGGA